CGTACCCCCCCCCCCCCCACCCTGCACCCCACGGTAGATCTGCCCCTGGGTGAAAGGTGCTCGCTTTAACGATTGTGCCAATGATGACTGATACATGTGTCATGATGTATTCATGTTATCTTAGGCAACGTAAGACATCGAGACTCTGACAGTACAAGTTTCCAAGGCGTTGCAGGGGTTTCCCTTGCAGATGAAGACACGGTGTTTATCTCGATGGAATTATTTTGCACTCGAGTACGAAACATGCTCGACATCATCAACACGCTGGCTCAGTTTGCAAAGCTTTGCGAAGCGGTTAAAGATCTGCCTCGTTTACCAAGAGAAGCGCTGGCTCCAGAGGAGGAGATCACGGGAGAAGATGAGGGTGATGAGGAACAAGGGAGGGATATATCACGTACTATTTCTGATACAAGTTTCGAAGAAGGTAGGGACTGGTAACTTTATATATTTGTTATATATATGGTATATTTATAAGATGGGGGGTGTTGGTTGTACATTGACTTCGTTATAGTGTTCGTACAAAACTTGAAAGTCCTTGAATTTGTAAAGAAGTACTTGAAAGTCCTTAAATTTTTCTTGCTTTACTTTTTGGATATTTTCTGAAGTTGTTTGACATTCAAAAACGGACATTTTGTTGAATTGATCTTACGTGTTCATATCTGACAAAGCTGTTTGAAACTGATACGTGGCCTTGACTGTCCTTGAAAAGTCTTCGAATTTGACTTTTCCTCACATGTACGAACCGTTGTATACATCTGCCGTTGTCCTCTGCATCCAAGGTTTTGACTCCTTCAAAATCCAGTGAGATGATTATAAATATTCATTTTGACTTACCAGGCATTGCCAGGGTCGGTTGTTCAAAAGCTGCATTAACGCCTAACCGTCGGTTAATATTTAAACTGCTGTTGTATATAGTTCATGCATTTTTGCACGTCTGTTTATTTCAAAACTTTAGAGAAGAAAACTCCTACTGATCCAGTAGAAGTGCCAAAGGCACGAGTTAAGCGCCGTATGAGGTGAAGCAAGCAAAAACTAAATTACTATAACGTCAGCAACACGGGTAAAAATATAGATTCTTTTTGTTAACAAAGACGGATACAGTACAGGTGAAAAACAAATTTAAACTCAGGTAATAAATCCATAAGAAAAGCAAGAAGTTGTCTTTTTGTCACGTCCGCGTACTAGATTTAGCTCATCTTAAGTTCAAATAATATTTAATTCAATTCAATTGAATCAGTTACTCTATTCCTATAGATTGGAGGCATCGCTTACGTTCTATTGAGTATCGAGAAATTAAGGCTTGCTATATTAATGCTTTGCCAATATGTAAGAGTTCGACGTGGCCAAGCAAACTTTTCAGTTTGCCCGGTGTGGATGCATACCCAGAGTAACACCACAAACATCATATTCACCTGAGTACATAACACCAATACACACAGAAATTATATAAGAGCTTATAACAATATATAAGCATGCATGACATGCATGTACGTCGGAAACGTGACGATGCGACAGCCAAAATAAACTGCTTCAAGCAAGACGTTCTATATATTGAGCGTTAATTGCATGTGCCTGAGATTGTTGTTCAGAAGGCTTTTTTCGACTCATCGCAAGAGTGAACTCGCAAACTCAATTTCATTGGTTCGGGAACCCCATTATAAATCGTCGTTGAAAATTGGTCCATGTATGTAACATCGTCTTTCATATATGGTTGAAAACATTTCTTAGCTAATTTCTTATACACTGGGCCAGTATTATACCACTTGTCGCAGCTTGAAATGTTTGCGTTGCAGTTTAGTGAAACTTCTGTCTGGCCTGATAGACAAGCAATGGACCTTTCACCTTTTGACTAAAATTTAGATTTTAACAAGTCGAGACAAAAATTTTATCACAGCTTGAAAGAGCATCACAAAATTAGTAATATTCCAAAGTTTCATTGCAAAATGTTGTAAAATGCGGATAATATAGCCTTGCGAAATTTGCCATTTTCAGTCATTTTGTATTACGCGCGGGAAATACATACCTCCTTCGGAAAAAGGGTATGTTTTTCCCGTTTGTAATCTAAAATGACTGAAAATTGCAAACTTCGCAAGGCTATATTATCCGCATTTTACAACATTTCGCAACGAAACTTCGGAATATTACTAATTTTGTGATGCTCTTTCAAGCTGTGATAAAATTTTTGTCTAGACTTGTTGAAATCTAAATTTTAGTCAAAAGGTAAAAGGTCCATTAATGATACAGTAAAATCCACATTATAAAGAAATACTATTTTCAAAAGACTTGCTATATACGCTTTAGAGTATTGCTTAAAGTGGGTTATTCAAGCCCCGTTTACACTACGCTCAATTTTTGGTACCGTACCACTTTTTGGTTCTTGGACTACCTAAATAGGTAGTCCAAGAACCTAAACAGGTAGTCTTTTTTTATAAGCCTCTCTCTCTCTAATAAGCCCCCTTCCCCAATAGACCACTCTCTCTAATAAGTCGTTCCTTAATGAGTCATTCTCTAGCTCTAATAAGTCCCTCTCTAATAAGCCCTATTTCTAATAGGCCCTATTTCTAATAAACGCCCTTTTTAATAAGCTCCTTCTCTAATAAGCTCCCTTTCTAACAAGTCCCTCTCTAATAAGCCCCTTTTCTAATAAGCCCCCTTTCTAATAACCTCCCTTTCTAATAAGCCCCAAAAATCTAATAAAATAAAAAGAATGCCTTGATTATGAGAAACAAAAATGTTAAACCAAAGACCTCATTGTCTGGACCAGACTCATCATTTTTCTTATACCCTCTCATATATATAAGAAGGGTCTAGGGTGGAAATAGTTCATGTAAACTAGCAATATTGGTATATATATATCATCGGCAGACAAATCATAGATAATAGAAGGTTAACACTGCCACGACTCCAAGGAAAATTTATAAATTCAATAAAAAATAATAACTTTAATTTTCGGCAGCATGCCACCGCCTTCGTCAGAAACGAATATGTAACACATAAGCGTTAATTGTTCTTAATATTGCTATTATGTTAGAGGCATTTCAGTATTTGAGTGAAATTGCACAGAAGTAATTAAAAGAACTCCCACACCATGATTGGTTTATAAAGGAGGCACGACGGGGATAGCACAATAACATTGACCAAAATATTATAATCTTAAAATAAAGATGATTACAGCTCATTTTTTTAATTCTAAAATTATCGTTTGCGTACAAAACAGTCTCCCCTGAACCAAAGCCGAGAGTTGGCAACCACGCAATCTTGGTAAGCTGTTCTCAATGCTTTCGTAACACTATCATGTATTCTATTTAAGTTTCAATACCTCGTTTGACCAGGACTTAATTTGTCAAAATTATAGCAATACAATTTAAACATAAGTACCTAAAAGCTGGAGAAGTTTAAAGTTCCTCCACAATCGCTGGTTTCGTTTCAATTGTCGTCACCAATACCTCGTCTTGTACATTTTCATCATGAAGGACAATCACTCCACCTACTTCCATTTCCAAATCAACATTTCCAACCACTTGTGGCTGTGCTTCACTCTCTTGCAATGGTAGCTGATCATGTATCGCAGGGCTATAAACAGGGCTATAAACCATGGCAACATGATTTTTATCATCCTGTACTGACTGTTGATTCACCATTTGAGCATCTTCCTGAAATCGACCACCATTTACATTAGAAACAGGTACATTTGGGGGTTGAGTGCAGGGATCGAAATAGCGGGCTGCCAATGGCCAAAAGCAGGTCATATTTTAGAAATGGCAGGCAAAAACAAATTTGAACTGCCAAGTTAAAAAAAAGTGGCAGGTGAAATTCTATAGATATATTTCATTTCATTTGGTTACCACAACTCATATATACTAGATCATTTAGTTGGCTAAATATGTTTATATTTGAAATGTAAATCCAAGTTTACTGTAGTAAAATAGACAAGTTTAAAAATAATAAAAATGCATGTCATGAAAATATTGACTCTTACAATATGACTCATATGAGACATTGCCATTTTGGCAGTTCAATGAATAAAAATGGCAGGCTAAAATATATTTCACCTGCCAAAAATTTTAGACTGACAGGCCATATTTTTTCTCTACTTCGAGCCCTGGTTGAGTGATAGGTTCAGGGTTTTTAGGGCTCTCAATTTGTACAAGCTGCAAATGGAGGAGAATACTTCAAGCAAAACAAACAATGTAACTATCAAACTGCAAACGAAAGAGCACTATAACAATTAAGTCCTTACAGCTTGTAGATGATTTTCGTCAGAATCATTCTCATCACTATCAAAATCAGTTTCACTTGATGCACTACTTTCATTTCTTTGATGATTTATCTCACGAACATTGTCATGGCAGACTGGTGCCGTTGGCGGATGAATGACAGGTTCAGGGTTATTTGGGTCCTGTTCCCAGAGTAGTGGCAAATTTCGCCCACGAATTTGTACAAGCTGTCAATGGAATAAAAGGACAAATTAAATCATTAATAGTTCGCACTAGCAAGACAAACGGCTTACTAACACTAAACAAAACTACAACAAGTACTTACATGTTCTGAATGATAATTTTCTCCAGAAGCACTTGATATACTACTTCCTTCATGATTTTCATTCTCTTGGGATTCAAATCCGTATATGTGTTTTGTTATCTTGTTACCCATTCTGTGTTGTAGTTAACAGACATAGGTTTAAGTTCTTTGAATGTTTGCATGGCGATAAAATATAATTGTTTTTGTTTGTGGAAACTCCACGTAAATTTATTACTGCAGTAATAAATTTACGTGGTGTTTCCACAAACAAAAACAATTAGACATAGGTTTATTTAACAAGGTTTATATAACAATTTAAAATGCTGTGCTGAGTGGTTATATTACTACCTGAAAAAAAAACATGCAGAAACTCGACGTTTTGAGCGACGTCCCTTTGTCAAGAGTTAGAAGGGTCTTTGCTAGAAACGTCTATAGTTTCTGCTTGTTTTTTTTTTCCATGTAGTAATATATAACCACTCAGCGACAGAAAACCCCTTCGTAGAAACATTCTCACATAGCTAGTTTAAGCTCATGCTTCAATTGTAACAATCACAGCTTATACAAAAGGTTAATAAACCACAGCTTATACAAAAGCTTATACAGCTCAACCACAGCTTATACAAAAGGTTAATAAAGTTGACTCACAAAATTTCCAGTTTTTCTTGAGAAAGCAAAGCAAATAGCGAGTGTAAACGTGTACATGCAAGTTGGATCGTAATATATATATATTAATATATGTATAATATCCCGCGCTAGATCCACGCGAGAGATCGCAATTAGTGAGTTTAAGATACCCCGGTTTCGGTGTACGGGTAGCATGATTTTGGTTAGCAATATTTTCGTCGATGTCTGTACCTTTACTCATAATTAAGGTGCACATTTTTCGCATTATATCATTGTCTATTGCAAGAAAAAAGAAAAAGTGTGATCGAATTACAGACATCAGTAAAAACTAGTAAACAAGATGACACTACTCGTACCCGTGCACCGAAACCGGGGTATCTTAAACTCACTAATGATGTCAATCTGTTTAGCCAGCTGATTCTTGTAACGAGTAAGAAAGAAGCTATGCTTTTTTGCGCAGTTGAAAACAATTCAGTTGATATATTTGCGCAATATAAATTAATAAATTATTATAACTCCCCTTTAAATGCAAAGTTCCTCTGTGTTAGATTTTCGCCCAGTTAGGGAAGAAGTCAGACCTTTCGAGTAAAGATTTTTTCTCTGATAGAAACACGCTACTATGTAAATATTTAATAAACGTCCTCTGCTTGTAGAACTGGATCTCTGCGTTTGTATACATATCACCCATATAGAACCTGCTTTTATACAGATAAAACCAGGTAGGGATCTGGTCACCAAAAATTGTTCTGTAATTGAATTGCAGCATTGTATAAGTGTTTGGCGTGATGGTTTCCTTGTTTCCATAGTCAGTTGCTATATATACGAAGCATTCTGGAATTTTTGTGTCCTCTTGGGCATCTTTTCCTTCAGCCAATGTCTTTTCATTACTTATAATGGCATGTATATGTTTTTACACGTTGTGACATTTGCCAGTTATGCCTCTGGGCAGAATACCGCTCTTTTTTTGCAAGATACAGTATTAGTATACACTGCGGTGTGCTTTTCCAAAGCGTTTGTTGCATTTAAAGCGTTTGGTTTTAATTGTTGTTGTGGAAACATACATATGCACATGATTATTTATTTACAACCTCAGCATTGTAGGTAGTGATTACGCTGTCATAATCAATATAATAATCGATAAAATTCATGATAATCCAGTTTTAGGGTTTCCAAGTCTAAATTGTATTTTCAGGGAATAAACCAATTCTGTCACATCCCCCAGTAGTGGTAAAAGTCGCCGACAAAACTGCTTGTATGAACCAGCTATAGACCTATATAGGCCTTTGCTCGGCAGGTGTCACTTACTAGCAGGTCAATCGACTTCATGGCGGCATACGGCAGATGTTTTTTTCTCCCTTCCCATTCCCCCTCATAAGAAGGGTCTTGGCTGGGAATAATTCATGGAAATAGATCGACTATAGATTGCGGATTGTACTGCCAAAGGAATTTCTGAAAACTTATTTGATCAAAGTAGACTCGGCAATGATAATGATGATCATGATGACGGGGATGATACTAAGACTAACGATAATGAAAATGTGAACCCTCTGGACCCAATTACTCCGACCATGGACCAATATGAAAAAGTTTACCCAAAACTCAAGGGATTCAAAATAGGGCATTTAAATATTGCAAGTCTTGTAAATCATAAAAACGAATTATCGGTTTTTCTGGCTAAACTCCCTTTTGATGTAATTTGTATCAACGAAACTCGACTTGACGACTCCATAGACAACTCCGAGGTGAAAATACCAGGTTACGATTTGATAAGACAGGATAGTCAGAAACCGCAATGGAGGAGGAGTAGCTATTTACCTAAGGAATGTTATTCCCTATACTAATAGAGCCGACTTAATTTCAGTTAATGCAGAGGCAATTTGTCTTGAAATTAAAAAACCGAAAGCTAAGCCAGTCAGTCTAATTAGTACTTGGTGTCGTCCACCAGGTTCTTATATGGAATTCTTTAATGATTTTGAAAATTTCATAAAAGTGATTGGCAATGAAAACAAAGAAATAATCATAACAGGTGATTTTAACTGTGACATCTGGACAGCAACTATAAGAATAACAACTCCAAACGATTGGATGATCTATTAGGTATCTACCAACTACAGCAACACATTGATCAGCCAACCAGAACAACTGACTCGACAAAAACACTAAGACATTATAATCACAAAAAGTGACGATACCAAAACATGTGATTCAGGAGTGATTGCTTTGGGAATAAGTGACCATGATCTGGTGTATATTTGTAGGAAAATAGGAGTACCCAGAGAAACGCCGAAAATAGTAGAAACAAGGCAGTTAAACATTTTAACGAAAACAAATTCCAACAAGACTCAGCACAAGCGTTTAACTACTTTACATACAACTCTGATCCAAATCTTGCCTGGCAGGAGTGGAAGGACATATTTTTGTCTATTTCTGACAACCATGCTCCCTATCGTGCTAGAAAAGTTAGAAACGAGCATTGCCCATGGTTGAACAATGAAATTAAAAAACTTCGTTATCATCGAGATTACCTTAAAAAAAGGCAGTGAGACTAAATTCTACTGCCTATACCGAGGCTTATAAAAGATGCAAAAACCAAGTTACCAAACTTATTAGGGATGCAAAAGCACACTGTTATAAAACAAGTCTGGAACAATGCAAAAATAGTAAAGATAGCTGGAGATTTATTAATCATTTACTCAACAGGAAAACGACTACAACAACAATCAACCAGATCACAGTTGATGGACAAACAATTAACAATTATTCGCCGAAGGCGAGGTGATTATCGGTGAATAAAAACCGAGACGAAGTCGAGGTTTTTATTTACGATAATCACCGAGCCTGAGGTGAATAATTGTTTTAGTATAATTTCATGGGTGATTATTTGGGGAAAAATAAAAAAATGCACATTTCTTCGTCTTTTAATTGACAAAACGGCTTCGGCCGCCATTTTGAAAATCGCTTAGGTGTTTATGTACTATTTAAAGCACGCGTAGGAGTGTTTTAGCACATATAAAACACGACGCGTAGCGGAGTGTTTTATATGTGATAAAACACGACTACAAGTGCTTTAAATGGCTTAAAAAACGACTCATCTTATGCGAGTTCATTGGCGAAGTAATTTTAAAATAAACTTTGTCTAAACCGAGAAAATCAAAGCTAAAGTTTATGTAAATTAACATGATTTTTTATCACATATAAAACCACGACATGCTTATGATTTTTCTTTCTGTTTAGCTCCTGAATTATTAATGAGTTTTTAAAAATAAAATAAAAAATTCCACAATTATTTCAAATCTGGATTTTTTATTCCAAATCTTGGGAAACCATCTCTATTTAAAAATTCGTACTTTAATAGAATTATATTTTTATGGGATATCAAATAGTTTACTTCGATTGCTATCCTCAAGAATAAACTATTATATATATATAGTTACATATACGAATTAACGGAACAATGCTATTGATGTAGACCATCCAGAATTAGATAACTGTGTGCAGTAATTTAGTGTCGTTCGTTGGCACAAACTGTTGTTCGTATATTGTAATTTTTGACGTGTATTATTGTTCATAATTATTATTATTATTATTAAACTTTATTTAAAGAAGGTTAATTTACAAGAAATATTAAGTTAAGTTATTGTTGTATGTAGGCTACAGTATGTTGTACTTTTTGGACCTCCAAAGCGATTAAATCCATTAGGCCTGTTTTATACGTCGAATTTTGGTCGCGTCGAGATGATAAACCCAATTAAGCTTTATTATCTATTGTTTGAATTGCATTCGACGCGA